TTCGGGTTGCGACCAGAGTCACGGAACGGATTAAGTTCGTAACCCGAGGTACCACTGTATCTGTAATGCTATAATTCTAATTCATTTATTATGTGAAAATGTATCTATAATTGGTGCCAGTGGAACTGCAAGAGTGATAAGCTTGTCTGTGTTAATTTTCTTCTCCCACTTAAACTCAATGTTCTTGCAGGCACCCAGAGAAAAGTCCTGGACATACCGAACCACCTCTGGAGATGGAGACAAAGGGAGACGTAATCCCTGAGAAAGAAGTGCCCAGGTAGGTATAGAAGTTAGGATGGAAGGTTGTGGGTTTTTAAATAGTTGCATTTTGGGAAGGTTTTTTTTTTTTGGTGCCTTGAAGTCAGTTTTTGATGCTTGGACTAGTCCCTGCAGTTTTCTTGCCAAGGTCTTTTGGAAGTGGTTTGCCATTGCCTCCTTCCTAGGGCTGAGAGGGAATGACTGGCCCAAGGTCACTCAGCTGGCTTTGTGCCTAAGGTGGGACTAGAACTCACGGTTTCTACCCTGAGGCCTTAGCCACTACACCAAACTGGCTCTCTCTCATAGATGTGGATTTTTTTTTTCTTTGCTTGCAACAGATATCATTTTGTCACTCTAAATTTGGACTGAAGCCTGTATGGAAGGACATTTACTTTGGAAATAGATCTGAATTGGGCTTGATTTCCTAGAGCAGTGTAGAATATAACAAGTAAACTAGCTATGGGGAAAAAAATAAAATGTGCCAATTTTACATCCTGACCAAAAAGAAGCAGATGGGATGATTTTCCACAATTATGGGGGACAAAGTGAAAAATCCTGCTTTGCTTCCATCATAACTTGTTATTTATTGGTTGAACCTAAGAAGGCAGAGTAGAAGCACGTGCAGAAGGCAGTCCTGACTGCCATGCTTTCATGAGAAGCTGTCTGTATAATGTACCATTTGTTGCTTTCTTGGAAAACTACATGTAAAATTAGGTGTAAGTCCTTCCTGCTTGGCACTTGACCTCCTCTTGTCAGATGTCAGATTTTGCAAGTGTAGTGCAACAGAAAAATCTCACTATCTTTCATAACTCCCAGGGGAATAAAGTAAGATTTTGGATCTAAATAATAATCTGACATCATCATCTCATCTCTTTTGATAGCATTTGTTCTGCATACCGTTTCCAGTGCTAGCTCGGATAGGAGCATAAGTGATAAGTGATGCCTCGGTTGGTTGTCCTTTTTGGAAAAGGCTTCCAACCCCTGTGATTTTGAGCTGCAGTAGAAACTGGAGGCTCCGGTTCCCTGGGTGTTTCTCTTTCTTTTTACTCTTGCATTTGGTGAGAAAAGAGTTAAAACCTGGGATAGATACAACTATTTCAGTTGTATCTCTCAGAAGGGCACTAAACAAGGAATGCAAATGGAAGGGATTTTAGGGTCTTCCATATTACTATAAAAGCCTGCACCGAATGGCATGTGCATCAGTAGAAGTGCCCAGTCTGGAGAGATGCTGAATTATACAGGCTGTCCTACGATTATTTATGTGTATTCTGTTAGCCACATCTTTAAAAGATGACATGAGTCATCAGATTTTCACTGTGCTCTATTGTTTGAAAAACTTCAGGGACAATGGCGCTTCTCCAACTCTGATTGCAGAGGAGGTAGAGCAAGCTGTTCATGAGCGTCTGGAGCCTCTTTTGGCAAAACCACAGGTAGAGTCACACACTCTTCCTCTCCTCTTTTCCCTTTGATCTTTTGACATGATTCCTTGTTTATTGATGAAATGAAGAAACCACTTCCTCCTTTCTTTCCAGCTCTTTTATTGAAGGGTGGCTTAAGGCCAGATACTTCACATAAGATGAGCGTGACTCAATTGCTGCTTCATAGGTCTTTCCTCCTGTATTAGCCAGGGCCCCAAATTAAAATTGTGGGCCTTGGCTAAGGCAAGAGGTGAGACTTATAAGGCCACAACTGAGTCATGCTCATTAGAATGAATTCATTAGTTAATTAGATTTATATCCTGCCTTTCATTCAGGAGCTCAAGGCAGCACATACAGTCCTTCCATTACAGAACAGTGACGGCACTCAGATAAGCACACGTGAAATTTTTGCCTTTCTTTATGAGGGACTTACTGTGTTTATTTGCCCCCCTTTTTTTTCAAAAATACCTGAAAAATAAGGTTAGCTAAAGATTCACAAAATAAGGGATGCTTGCAGGTAGGAGGGCCCCAATGCCTGCATTAAATGATTGGGCAGGTTTGGGGAAAAAATGGCTAAAGAAAGGTACAGAAAAGTCAGCTGGCTAACGTAGATGTTCGATGTGGTTATGGGTGAAATGAAAGCCCTACTCTTGTAATCAGATGTGGTTCCCAGGTTTGATTCTTTTTCTCAATTGCAGTGAATGCCGTGTTGTTGAAATCCATCACAAAATCCATATGAAACCACCTCCCCCCACCTCAGTTGTTGAGCTCACTGGGCTGTTAAACATCTTCACATTGTGTATCCAGTGAGTGATAATTTATGCAAAAAGTGTCAGACTTTACAAACTATTGTAAAAGGTGTTAGACTTTTCTTCCTTCCTTCTGTTAAAAAAGGTTGCGTATTTAATCACCCCATCCCCTAAAGTAATTTAGCTTTGCAACATTGCTCCAAGAGAGCATCTTGACAAAGTTTTCTAATGAGCTTTAAAGAATTCTAAAGCCAAAGAAAGTTTCAGCTTTGAGACAAAACACATCTACATATTCTTTTTCCAGTTTTTTTTTATTTTTTGCTTTTAATATTCTGTAGGGCAAGAAGAAACAAAAATATAAGACAATAGCCCAGAACAATGTATTTCAATATTCAATCATAGTTTACACATAAAACTAAATTTATCAAAATAAGAGTTAGCATAAGTTGTATAATTATGCTTTTTTTTTGCAGCACCAACACTGTGGAATAGTCTCTCTGTGGAAATCAGGCTGGTTCCCTCTTTGCTGGTTTTCAACAAGCCTCTAACTTTTTTCAGAGAGCCCTCCCTTGATTTGAGTTGTTGTTGCCATATTGTATTTCTTTTAATTCTTGCAGTGCTGTTGTGTTTTTCTTTTTGTACGGAGTTGTTTTATATTGTATTTTTCTATGTGTTTTGCCAAGAGTTGTTTTTGACTGGCATACAAATATGTTAAATAAATAAATTATCAATCATTCCAGATCCAATAAAAATGTAGTTCATCCTTCTGAGAAATCATTTGAATTTTATCAGTACAGTAATTTTTTCTGTGACAGAAATTGACCATCCTTTAGCATGTCAATTATTCAGTGATAGGTTCTTAAAAATTTCCACTTTTGAGCAATTATTAATTTTGTAGCTAGGAGTAAGAATACAATAAACTCTTTTTTGTTTAGAGTTATTTCCCTTAAAATGTGTAATAATCCTAACTCTGGAACACATTCTACTATTTGTTCAGTTATTATTCTTATTTTTCTAATACAATATCTCTTCACAAGACCATCAAATAGGAAAAAACATTATCTTCTGATTGCAACCCTTCCAACATTTTGTTGAATAATTATGAGATATTTATGCTAGTCTAGTTGGAGTTAAATGCCAGCAATCTTCTGCTGGATCTCATGTATGGAAGCTGATCAAAAACTACCTGATTTCCAAAGTGTTTGCCTTTTTTTCTCCTCCATATTCTTTTCCAGGTGATAGACAAGATTTCTTTTGGTTGCTCTTCCAAGTTTAGAGAGCTGCTATGAAACTATAAGTGCTCTTAAACTGAGTTTATTTTGTTGGCATTTCTACCAGAAAGTCTTAATTAAGACTGAGGTGGTGTAGGCCATCCCGACTGATTGATATATTTTTGTTTTGTTAGAAAGTGAATCTCTCCTTGGAAAGAAATATTGGTCAGGAGGAGTCTTTGTGCGACAACCGTTCATCACTGGACATTGAGAAGGTACAATGTACCTCTAACAGTGTGTTACCAATTCACGGGGCCTCTGATGATGCTTTGTGGCTTGGCTTATTTATAAGGACTTCTCCCATTCTCCCAGTGGCCCTTTTGTGTCTGAAAGGTTCTTTTAGGGAACATGATAAGCTATCCTCCCCTCTCTCTCAACTGTTAGGCTGCAACAAGTTTACCAGGTATCCGTTTGGAGGATTGCCGTCTGGAACAGTGCAAGAAGATGGAGCATGAGGCTCTTTCTGCGCTCAGCATATCTGATCTGGAGACAATGATGAAGAGGATGGAGGAAATAGAGGTGCATTCATTCATTAGTTGCTGACCTGTGCCTGTGCATCAGGTTACTGAGGTGTGATGGCTCTCAGCGATCAAGCAGTTTGTGCATTGAGCTCAAGGAACGTCTTGAGAATCTCCTGTATTTGGCTGGTATAGGAGCTGCATTTTGTCCTCCTACAAGGGGGAAAAATGGCCTATTTGGTGTGTGGCATCTGACATTTTTGCATACAAGAGAAATGGGGAGGGAGAAATAGCTGGAGTTCTACTCTATGCTTTTTTCCAGCTTCCCCTAATCTGACACCATCTAGATGTGTTAGCAACAGAGGTGAATATGTGTAGCTCAGGGTTGAACTGTGGAGACCTTGGGGTTCTCTGAGCTTGGTTCT